TTTAATTTTTACACCAAGAAAGCTTTTGATTGTTCTTTAGAATTTCTCGAAAACTGGTTTTTCGGAGGACCGGTCTTTGAAGGTCTAGTAGCAGCATTCATGGTGATATTCGGAATCAGCATCGTCGACTACCTATAGTCCACTCGGTTTCGTTGAAAAAGCGATTTATCAGTTGGGGTACTTCCCTCGTCAGCTCATCATAGTCTATATATGCCATAAAAACGAAGTTTTTTGGTTGAAGTCTGAAGCTTCAAGAAAGTTTTTTTCATCGCGTAACGCTGTTACAAAAAAAGACCCTAAATTTGGAGTGCTCTCGCTTAATTTTTCATCGAACGAGCTTTCCAGCGGTAAAAATATTTTCCGTTAACTATTTTTACTCGCGCAAAAAAGCAGAAAACGAACGTAACGTTGTTACACATTTTTTTATCACACCATTCTAGGACACTCAGCGTTCTTCAAACAACTTCATACTTATAGCTTAATTACTTCTAGCCCTTCTGAGATACTTCACTAGCAAACAAAGTTCGAAAATATGCCTCAGGCTTTTAAAATGAGCCGGGAGTTCAAACTTGCAAGCAGTTCTTGTGCCTCGACTGAGAAACAAAACAAAACGGGCCATTTTGTAGAAAATTGAATTCTCTATTGGGCAGTATATTCTAAAAACTAATTACGAAAATTTCTTGGTGTAAAAATTAAAATTTTCATTTTCATTTTAATTTATTAATTTTATTTTAAACCTTTCTTTACCGAGTTATAAGGTTTCTAAAATTTAAAAACTTGGTTTTTGAAAGTTTTTCGATTTTCCCTATAACTCGGTAGAGAAAGGTTTAAAATAAAATTCCAAAATTGTACCTCTGCGCTCTGATCTTGAGTACCTCTGCTAAAATTTTTAACTCGATCGGATGAAATTTAAGGCGGGGAGTCGTAATGTGGCACAATGAAAAATCGAGTGTTCTTGAAAACCGATGAACAGCAATAGTTAGAAACTCGAAACGAGAACGAAAAGTGCTCCATTGTGTTTCCAATCAGTTTTGAAAATATGAAGCCTTAGTGAGTTTTAGTTTTTATTTCACAGCATTTCTATGGAAAGCCCAAAATGAGGAGAAGGCTACCCTTAACGACTCTTGCAACAAAAGCAAGGGGGAATAAGTGGACTTCAGGATTCCATGGGGCTCCGGACTCCGTGAAGTCCCATGAAGTCTAGAAATCCGTATCAAGTCTTGGACTCCAATAAGATACAGAAAAAAGGCTAAAAAAACGAAAAAAAGAAAGCTTTTGATTGTTCTTTAGAGTTTCTCGAAAACTGGTTTTCCAGAGGATCGGCCTTTGAAGGTCTAGTAGCAGCATTCATGGTGATATTCGGAATCAGCATCGTCGACTACCTATAGTCCACTTTGTTTCGTTGAAAAAGCGATTTATCAGTTGGGGTACTTTCCTCGTGAGTTGAATGGTGTTTGAACGAACTTTCTAGCTCCCAAACTTTCCGAGATAATTGAGAAAAGGTGTGTCAACAACGTAACGCTAGACAAGCTGATAAACACACTTTACACTAACCAAAAACAGATTTATTACCTTGAGATGTAGTTGTAATTTGAGTAGTTGACACGGTACTGGAATTTGCTTTGAACAAAATAAGCAATCATTTTACAGATCAATTAACGATATTCTTTCTACTGTTACCTCCATTATGCTACGACAATGATACTCCTATACCAACGAAAACCGCTACAATGATCGCCAATATGATACTCTCAGTTAATATTTTTCTTAATGACCAAACACATCTGAGCAAATAATTACAATTATTTTAAAAGCATTCATTACAAAAAATTACTAACCGTTCATCCTAAAAAAGATATAGAATAGAAAAACAATGTTTTATTTTAAATGATGTAAAAAAATTAGTCATTTTAATTTTAATAAAGACTTTCAAAATAGAACTGGTCATAGCCGTGAACAACGTCGGGCTCTGTTAAATTTTTTTCTGTATTTGTTTTAAAATTTAATTAAATTAATTCTTAAATTTTTAAATTTTAAATAAATAAAGCAAAAAATTTAACAGAGCCCGACGTTGGTTCACGGCTATGACCAGTTGCAACAAGTTTTGCTCCAACAGCTTTTTTCAAAAACCTGACCCTACTGAATTCTTAGCAAGGCACTTTCGATGGCAATGGGTTATTTCATCTAGTAGGGTTTTCATTCAGTTCCTGCGTTTTGTTTGCCATAAGAATTTTTCATAAATGGAACTTTTATAAAAAAATCTATATCTCTGACTTAAAAAGGACTAAAAATTCGATAATTACATCATGTAAGTAATCACTACCATAACAAGAATAGAAATACCAAACAATGACATATCTTCCTTTTATGTCACGAGACATAAAGCCTCCTACTTATTACACACAAATGGTGTGATCTATGTTGAAAACGTTCATGTTTGTGCAAAAACTCTGAATCTTACTTCTTGTTGAAACAATGGGTTTCTTTTTGGCGCGTATAAATGCTATAATTCGTATTACTAAAATTTGAAGAACTGTAATTAGACCACCAATTAATGCGAGTATTGTTGTTATAATATAAACTATGCCAAATCGCTTAACATATGTGTAGGTGCAATAGTTTGGTTTACATTTATCATAATATGATTTATGAAACGAGTTTGGATTCCATTGTTCTATCATCATATTTAATACAATTTGTTCGATTGAAGTATTTGGCTTATAGATGGTGGCTGCGGATATATTTAATACACGAATATTTATTGTCGACACTACATCCAGGTGGAATTTAATTGAATTATTTAAACATGCTTCATTAAATAAACATTCGAAATTTGATTTGAACAATGATTCAAGTATATAACAACCCGAATAAAAGCCTGGAACTGTTGAGTTTAATATGTATATGTTCTCATCATAGAATCCTGCCGGTGTAAAACAAGATGGTGAACTACCACAATCACACGTTCCATATTTTTGTGCAATCATTATCGGTATGCTTGTGTTCGTTTCGAATAAGATGGTCCAACTTGTGAGTGTACCCGACATGATGCGATTTGCCTGTGTTGTTTGACGTACAATACTTAATGATCGTCCAAATGTATCTGTTGTCGTTTGAATGAATAAATCGATTAAAGCATTGACCTGAATATTAAAAAGAGTTGACGATATGGCGTTTGAAGAAATGAATTGGGTTGATTTAAAAACGATTAGAGCATCATCGATTGTTTGATTTACCAATTTACAAAAATCAGCGAGCAATATAAATAGTCCATTACCTGCGGAACGAAAATCAAGATGATTGTGGATCATAATAATGTTGTGAGAATAACCGACATAACTGATCCACGCCGGAGTAATGAAATCACTTGAACATATCTGATGATACTCAAGATTAAATGTTATAAATGTATTGTATTCTATTGCTAAATTTGAACAAGGACAAATAAGTGTGTTTGGATAATTGTATGCTACTGTATTAAATTGTTCAACAGATGGTGATTGAATTGTAACTAATATTGTCTGCTGCTGTATTCCAGTATAGATGGCAAGAACTATCACTAACACAATTAATAAGGAAATAATAATTCGTGTTGAATATATCTGATTTTTAGTTTCATGTTCAATATCCATTGTCTCGTCTTCAGGATCTGACGACTCCTTTAACATATTAAATGTTAAGACATATGACCTTGATGTATGATAAAAATCTCGGAGTTTGCCACAAATTTTTGTATCTACAAAGAAGAAGTCCATAATTGTGTTAACATTCTCAATGGTTTTTTTTGTCTGAATTATTCACAAAAGCATTTTTTAAGCAACTCTATTTGAAAAGGATTTTGAAATAGAATTGCTTAAGCAGATCTCCACATCCCCCATAGCTGCCCTCAAACCATGTTAATCTGAAGAGGACACCTGATTACATATATCCTTAAGTTTTTTCGATGGACTGATAATTATTCACAGAGTTATTAATTAATTAAGTTTAAACTTTGATTAAAATTTAAAGTTCGCGTCCTCATTTAAAATAACTTGTGGCTCAGTCAAAGCTAATTGTAGAAAAGTCATTCATGCATTGCTTGATAGCCAATGGTCTGTTGTTATAGTCTGATGTAAAGGGATTTGAAAAGAGTTTTTTTAAGACAATAATTTATAATTAATGAATGCGAATAAATACAAATTAATGTTGCTCCGGCGTCTTACACTTTTGTTTCTAAAGTAACGATTTATTGGAAATGGTGAAGTAATACCTATGAATAATTTTCATACTCTAACGCAGGTTAACATGCGTTAAAAAAAAGTTTTCGAGAAAATTGCGTTTGAACAGGTTAAATTTTCAAATATGACACTTGCTAACATTTCTTCGGAGCGGTAACGAAACAGATCCGGTTAAATGTAGTTCTAAGAAAGTTAAAGAGTTCCCATGCATTCAAGTTCTCCAAAAATCGATGATATATGGTGTAAATGCGTTTAAAAATAAAGAATACGTGTATATTCTTGAATAAACGTTTATCTTAACTCGTTAAAACTCGTTCAACGATAACTCACTAAATGCGTCAGCGTTCCAGCGCGTTAGAAAGGTAATTTTCCAGTCATCTTTTTGTTTTGCATGACCAACTCATCTATAAATAGCAAGTCTTTCCCTACGAGATAAACGATACACTCACTTAGAAAATTTTCTAAGTTTTCCTCTTACTATGTATATGTGTAACAGACTAGTCTACCATAATGATGCTGATGAACAATATCTAGTAGACCATAGCCATGTGGATCTTGGGATCGATCAACGGAACAGAAACCTGCCTGAAAAGGATAAACACACTATACACGCACTATAGCGCGTTAAAATTACATTGATCCGAAGTATTATTCTAACGAGTGTAAACGCACTCAAGGAACTAACTTGTTCAATTTTTAACGAGTTTGAACGATTTATGATTATGGAGGCGTTATCACGCACTACTAATGTAACTCGTTAGAATATGTCTCCGAATATGAAACATTTCACGCAGTTCTAACGCGTTAAGCCGCTTCCTTAACGCGTTAGGGTTATAAAATTTTTGTAATTAACGAATTTGAATGTCGTTACCATATTTTTCTTATAAAAGTGCGTTTGAGTGCATAGAATTAATTTCCAGTCCTATATAAGTTTGAAAACTAACGCATTTGCACGCATTCAACAGTATTTAGCTAGTGTGCGCGCATTAAATTTTTCTTTTCTTTAACGCGCGTTAGAGTATCAAAACTATTTCATGAATAGGTCATTCAACAACGATTTCCAAGCGCTACAAATGCCTGTATTTGCCTTTTCAAAATGTTACCGATAAGCAGCTGTTTGCTTCTAGGTTTAGGCATCTGGGGTTTCTACTATTGATTTCTCAATAAAGCCACTTCTTTTTTCTTTTTTCATCAGATCATAACAACAGACCATTGGCTATCAAGCAATGCATGAATGACTTTTCTCCGATTATCTTTAACTGAGCCACAAGTTTTTTAAAAGGAGGACGAGGACTTCAAATCTTAATCAAAACTTAAACTTAATTAATTAATAACTCTGTGAACAATTATCAGTTCATCGAGAAAACTTAAGGATATATGTAATCAGGTCTCCACTTCAAATTAACATAGTTTGAGGGCATATATTGGGGGTTTGGCTCCCCTCTTAACTGCAGTGTCAAACTTTTGCCAACGATCCTGCATTAACGAAGCATGATGGAGTAGAGCCCCCCCTTCCTAAAGAGCGTTGACTCTATTATAAAGTAATACATCTACTAATTCTCTACTATCTATGGCCAAAAAGGTTATACATTGAATTGTTTTCTTATAACATTCCATTCCGCGAACCTGTTAGGAAATATGAACACAAAACAAACTTAACTGCCCTTTATCTTTGCGGTTTTAAAGAACTCTTAAAAGAGGAAATGCTGACGAGAATATGTCGTTTTTCACTTGATTATTAATACGGAATTGAGCCGAGAACAAAATCCATCCAATATTGAAATCCGTTTTGCTATTCGAATGCTGGAAAAAAATGATTTTTCTCTATAGTGGCTATATGTAATATATTGATGAATTTCGAAAGACGGAACGGACGGATAATTAAAGTACAAAATCCTAATTATTCTCAAAAATTGTTCGGTAGTATCCGTAAAAAGTTCAAAGCACTGGCATTTTGATATCAGAAAGCCTAAAAACTAGGATCAGTTGACGGTAACTCTAAAGAGTCAATTTGAAACAAAATCTAATTTTAATCCCTCTCATTCCTTCTATACACTTTCTCGTAAGTTTTGGAAACAGTGGCGACTTACCAGTTTGTGTATCTTTCCTTGATTTTCCCTTTCGAATAGATTTCACAATTGTTGGCACAATGAAGCGAAGAGTTGCTACTATTCCTCCAATAAGTCCAATGATTGTTGTGATCATGTAAACAAAATCGTGAGATTTTACATAGGAATATGTGCAGTAATTTGAACGACATTGATTGAAATATGATGGATATGAAATTGACGTGTTCCATTCTTCAATCAGAAGATTTTTTAGCATATATTCAATTGTTGTTGTCTGATTATATCTCTTGTGTAGTGATGAATTAAGTATGCTTAAATTCGTCGTCAATGTTAAGTCATTCACGTAAAATTGTTGAAAAGTTTGTAAACATGTTTGATCATAGAAACATTCGAATGTTGACGCTAGTAATGCTTCAACCACAAAGCAACCCTTTACTGTTCCTAGCAAATAAATCGTCGGAATATATTGATTATCATCTGTTCTGG